CAGGACAAAGGTCTTATCATAATTACAGCTCATATCATAATTGCAGGTCATATTGTTAATTGGAGTGCTACCAGATGCCCTGAGCTACAGCATTGCCAGCTTGCAGGCCTTCCTGGAGTTCTCCTTGGCCGTGGGAGGGGAGAGGAGATGAGGACTCACCGCCAGGAAGCCCAGCTTGCCTCCACAGCGGGTCTTCAAGCCAACTGCAGCTGTCAGGTGGATCTCTGCCATGGTGCTGGGTGGGATCTTCTCCTCTGCACACTCGGCCAGGTTCACAGCACACAGGGCCATGTGCAAGCCCGAGTAAGCTGAGCTGGAGGGCAGTTTACCTGCACCAGGAGGGAAAGGAAAGTGTTATGTTTCAATGCAGTAGTACCAGCTACTAAATACTACTGTGATTTGCAAGGCTACCACCCTAAAAAGATAAGGATCTGTTGTCATGAGAAGTTACCTACCATCAGATACCTACTAAGTATTCAAGCAACAGAACAACCATAACCAAGTCTTCCCTCTACAGATCCCAAGCTTGGCACCCACAGGATGAGAAAGCCCCATGCAGCTAAACCAGTTAGGATAAAATCATCCAAATTTTGTCTCACTATACACAAATAACTCCACAAATGACGCTGGGGACAGCTATCCCTGGTGGCATGGCTGCCACTCACACAGCACCATTAGGCAGAAGGAAGTTCAGCTTGGATTTCTGACGGGCTTGGAGCCCATTAACATTGCAAATTGGTTTGCATGGAAACGGCCAGAACAGCCATTCACAGGGAACATTCCAGCACTTCCTTAGTACACGTGCACACACCCAGGTTTTCAGAGCATGTCAACACCAACTGGCAACCTGTGCTCTGCACAACTTTGGAAATTTAAGTTCTTCCAGCCACCAACCCCAGGTCCTGCTTCCACATCACGTTCCCAAGTGATAGGGATGAAACAGGATCTTAACAGAAGTAAAAAGTGAATGGATTCAATCAACTGCTCCTTGGGAAAGGCTCTCAGCCACCTCTGCAGACTCGGGACCACATTAGACACTGCTGTTGTTTCATCTGCTCTTCCAGAGCTCATTCATTGCATGTTACATTTCGATGAGTGGCTCCTGAAATTCATCACGCCAATTCCCAACAGCAGGCAGGCCCTGGTGCTCCCCCTGTGTCCCCCCACGATCAGCTTGGAGCCTTCAAATGGGCACCACGAAGCCAGGAGATGTGCCAGCTCCACCCCTACCCGTTATGTGGAGCTGATGGAGCTTGTGGTAGGCCAGGGCCGCGTCCCGAGCGCTGGTCTTGGCCTCGTCCTCAGAGCCGGCGGTGGCCTCCCGACCGCCGCTGGTGAGAGGTCCTCTTGAGGAGCCACCTGACCAGGGCCAGCTTCTGCAGGCTGTACTGGATGAGGTTCCAGGAGAGGCTGCAGGCCAGGTCCAGGCGGGAGGCGGGCAGGGCTCGGCCCAGGGCCGACAGGCAGCTCTGCAGGTGGGAGGCGGCGGCGGCAAAATCTCCCTGAGGATCACACCAGGGAATTCAGCAACTGGCAGCACCGTCACACAGGCACTGCCAGCTCAACGAGCTGACCTGCAGGCTAGGATGAGGGGTTTAGCTGAGGGAAGTGGGTCACTTGAAGGCAATTTACAGCAGCTTCAGATCTGGCCCTGCAGGTGGCTCCAGTCCTGCGCTGAGTGTGAGGCATCAGCACCAGGTGAAAGGAGCTTCCTGCCTCTTCAAAGCACATCTGAGCTTCAAGGGCCCCATATCAAAAGCCAGATGTTGCCTCAGCAATGGAGAAGACCTCCACGAGGCTGGAGGACAGCAAGCACACACAGCAGAGGCCAGGCTCTGGACAAAACCCAAAGATCTTGCTGCCAAAGCTTGCTACAAGATGCAGCAGCAAGGGACAAGGACACGAGTTAGGAGCCTCTTCCAGTGCTGCTGTCTGTTCCTCACTAATTTAGGTCGAGGGAGGATGGCAAACCACACCAGCTTCTGTGCAATCAGCCAGGACGACCCACTCGAGGAGTGCCACACTCTTCCAAGTGCCAGGCCACTGTCCCACTGGCCACAGTTCCCCACACCCCCTCCTAGGAGCTGAGTTTGGTGCCAAGCAAGGAGGTGATCTTACCCGTGCCAAATCCAGGTCTGCTTGCTTGCGATGCCTCCAGAAGGTGACCGAGGACCTGGAGTGCAGGCGGGTGACGGGCTCCCCGTGCACCAGGAGCTTCACAAACACACTCAGCACAATCACCCCGTTCACGAGCCACAGGATCAGCGTGGGCATCATCCAGCCAAACCAACTGCCTCCATCTGCAAGGGACATCCCCAAAGGGAAGTTCATCAGCAGGCTGAAAGCCTAGCAACAGGATCAGCACAGACCCAGGAGGACGTCTTGCTACGCCCACCACGTGGGCCATCAACTTCTGCCAAGTGAATTTTAAGCAGGAAGCACCTGTATCAACAGCTCTTTGTACAAACTCCAAGCCACGGCACTCCCAAAGAAATAAAGATTGTTATTTTTACAAGACAGACTTATAAAAAAAATAGAAGTCAACATTTGGTTTTCCTACAGTACCTTATATTCTGATTTTTCTGTCAGATACGCCCATGGGTACTCAATACTACAGTGTTATTTTCTGGTCTTAATTAAGTTTACTAAGCAACACAAAGGAAGTATATTTGCCAGTCAGGGAAATTACAGCAGGCCTACAGAATCCTCCACCCTCCCTAACCTGCTGTACTCTAAAATATTAATATTATGGGGTAAGCACATTGAACAAGCCATTAGCAAGACCTTGTAGCAGGTGTTTCTGAAGTAATTCTTCACCTTTTAGTATTAAGTTGCAAAAAATCAGTTGGTTACCTTAAAAACAATGATAAAGTGAGCATGCCTCAAAAGCTGGTGAGGACAGGAGGATGTCTCTTAGCCTGAACTATTTTTCAAGGGTCTATCCCAAGAGCCCACGCTGCTGGGCTACAAAGAGGTGTCCCCTCAAGGCATGGCTGGTTTTCAGCAAGAACATTGGACCTGGATATGGACTGGAAGAGTGTCCAAGCCCTCTCAGCTGGCTCCCTTCCCACACCCAGCCCTGTCTGGTTACCTGACTGGATGGTCAGCACGCTCCTGCCGGAGCCGTGCCGCACAAGGGGGTCGGGCTCTGGGGCTCCTCGGGCCTCCAGCAGGGATGTCAGGGGGTTGAAGGACAGGCAGAGGAATGTGAGGGCACAGAGGAGTATTCGAGAGCGATCCACCATGCCCAGGGCCACGGGAGGAGAGTCAGGCTCATCTTTAACCTTCAATGGAATGGGAGGAGAAAAAACTCACTTAGAATTCTTTAGAACAAAAAATGTTTATGCCAAGAGAGGAGTAGGGGGGAAAGGGAAACAGAACATGTTCCAAAATCTGCTTTAAGATCAAGACCAGCAAGAACTCCAGTGAAGCTTTCCCTAGCTTAGCAAGTTAAGGCTAAGTATTTGAGTGCCTTCACCTTTCTTCTGCTCCAAGTAATTTCAGTTATTAAGTGGATTACTGGTTAAGGCTGGGATTAACCTTTGCTGCCCTTACTCTTTTACAGATCTCCCAGAAGACCCACTTCCTCTATGATCTCCACAAAACCACCATGTCAGGCAAGGACAGCTAACAGCTTTCTGTTACTGTGGTTACTTATGGTCTCATTAAACACAGTTGATGTCATCATCTCTTTCCAAGTACTCCTGCTTTATTCTCTGGGCATATCTCTCTCTGGAAAGCCATGGGCTCTTTAGGTCATGAACATCCACAGTAAGTCCACAGAGACTCCACAAGAGCTCAAGGCTAAGTAGAGTTCTTACAGCAGCTCAGGAAGTGGTCTCAATCACTTAGAAAAAGACAGAACACACCCCATGCACCTTCCTCATCCTTACAAGGCATCTCTGACCCCTACAGACCTGCTTGCTAGATCTCCTAATTCCCAAGAGTGGAACCAGGGGACAATTTAAATTCTGGCCCTTACATATCCCTGAAGCCTTGAATTTGACAAATGAAGTCACAAATACCTTTGCATCATCAAGGAGTGGGCTTCCTGGCTCTGAATCAATGGAATATGGAGAGAAGCCAGCCTGGGATCCCGAGTCAGAAGCTGGAGGAGACATCAGCAGTACATTCTGGTTGAAGTCATCTATCTTCAGATCCACATCGTTGTCAACCAGGCTGCTTAGGTCAATGCCTTTCAACAGCTCTGTAAAAATCAAGGGTGAATTATGGTTGTGCTTCAGATCCTGCATCCTGCCAGTGCTGCTCAGATTGGCTCTGTCACCTGGAGCAACACTGGTCACTGCCAACACAATGCCCATGTTCTCCACCCCTGCCAAGGGTAAGAAAGCACAAGAGCCACCCTACATTTATACCAACTGCCCCCTCCCCACCCCCTGCACAGCCTCCAGAACTTACTGTTTTTTTGGTTAGCCAGCTTCAGAACCATGTTCTCCTGCCTCAGCTTATGGTTGGCCTGCTGTAGGTACTTAATGTAATCAATGGCTTTTCTGAGGACTCCAGACTTGTGCATCTGCAAGGAATTAAGAGGTACAGAAAGCAGTTTATATGAACAGTGTCAAAGGGTCACTCCTGCTTCTAGAGATACCACGAGCCTTTGGATCACATGGTGACAGAAATAAGAGTGTCAAGGACCACTCAGCAGCTGCAGAGAAACTAATACTGAGGCAAGCTGTGGACAAGGTAGCACTTTGAATGACACACAAGGACTGGGGGGCTCTCAAAGATCTTATAAAAATAGTACACTGGAAATAGATTAACATCCCAATAATGACAGAGTTCACAACTGGGTTTCAGTCAGAACCAGTCCCTTGAAAGCACAGTTGTTTTGAAATGAAGTGGCTCTCTTCTGGGATGGAACAAGCTGCTGTCTGTTCACCACGAGTCACTGTTTAATTCTGAGACAAGTGGTTCTCTCCTTGCCTCACTCCCTTGGCCATCCCCATGCAAATACTTGCTTCCAGCAACAGCAGGCAACTTTAGCTTGTAAACACAAGCCCAAAGTACTATGAAGCCACTGCACATCAATATTTTTACAACAGACTTGCAATTCCACCCAGCAATGGGATGTGACTTCACACAAGCACATATCTGTACAGAGACCATCCAAGATATCAAGAATACTCCTCCTTGGTCTGTCAGCATGAGGTGAAGTGAACAGGACAACCCTGAACACAAGGTGTGAGGTTGCTAATATTTGGGGAAGCAGGAGTTTTTACAACTCAGGATCTAAATGGAACCAATTGGAAAGCTCTGTAAACCTTTGTCCCTGATGCAGCCATGTGGAAGAGGAAATTCCAATTAAGCAAGCTCTGGTTTGTCAGAGTTATCACAACATCCACTTGGATATTTTACCTAGAGGGCTTATTTCATTTAGAACTACTGTAAGAACAAACATTTAAGGTACAGCTTATTTTCCAAGGAACAGCACCACTAGTATAGCACAATAAACATCTTACAGGTGACCCCTTCCTGAATCAAGCTTTGCATCACCCAAGTGCTTCTCACCACTCTTATCCCCACACGTGTGCATGCTACTCACAGCCACAGGTACCCAACTGCTTCATTTGGTACAGCAACAATCAAAACGAAGTATTCAGGACATGAATTTTGACCTTATTCCACATCTTTACCTTGGCATCTGTCCCCATGACAAGGTCCTTCAGCTCAATGATCTTGTCATTGATGGAGGACCGATAACGCTTTTCAATGATGTTGTGAGTTGTTCTCCTCTCTCCTTCTTTAGGTGGTTCTGGTTGCTTGACACCCCCAGGAACTTGTTTGATAGGCACCTTTTCTTGTCCCACCATCACTGGCATCGTGGTCAAAATGGTCCCGTTGCTCCCAACAAGGGTCTACAAAGATTGTGTGTGACAACATCATGAGCAATCAACCAACTTAGAGAAGGTTTATGATGGTAAAAGAAAAAGGAGTAACCAACAGAAGAAGCAGGAGAAGTGTGTACAGCTCAGAAATGCCAGTTTCCTCCCATCCTCAGCTGGGCTGAGCACTGGCACAGCAGCCCAGGAAAATCTGCCACTTTGCCTCCCACACTGGTCACTGTGGAGGAAGAACATCTCTTGTTCTCCAAGAGCATCAACGCTCTTTGCCAAGACCATGTTCTGTCTGTCCACTAAGCAGAGAAACAGATCAAGACTCCTCCTTGATCCTCACAATCCTCACACCCCAAGTGTCCAAATCCACCTTTTCTGTGGACAAAAAGTCATTAAACCAGCAGCAGGCAATGCCACTTCCAAACTGCTAACAGTAATGTAAGGAAGGACCTGACTATGGAAAACAGACTTTGGCTGGAGCAAGGCAGCTGATCTAAATTAGATTAAATGGAGAAAAAGTAGATCCAGAAGCTATAAAAATGCCTTTAGATGAGAAACTAAGGCAAAGAGTAACATGCACCAGTGCAAAAAGCTTAAACTTGGACATCCAGATGGAGGACAGACCACCTACACCAAACTGAAGCAGTGGGGTGATAATCCCACCACAACAGCTGCACAGAGAAGCTGCTAGGACAGCTGGAGTAAAGGAAGTTTAGACTGCTTAACCCAGAAAAACAAGGGTTAAATTACAGCAAGGATCAGGGCAGTGGCTATGGAGAGGAAGAGTTAATTCTGTCAAAAGACAGACTAACATAAATGAGAATAAGTGAGCAAATTCAAGAACAACTTTGACTCTGAGACTCTTCTAATTGGGGTATTAATTTATTTTCATTTCAATTTGGAACTTGACAAATAAATGAATTTAAAGTCCTACACCTTTCCTTGGCTAATTCCCACCAAATTTCAATGTGTTCAGAATTATTTACAGTTTGTGTAAAGAAAAAAGTGTGTAAGAAGCCATAAAAAAGAAGTCAAAACTTAACTCTGGGCTTGCAAGTTTCTCTCTCCCAGTAAATATCTGAGCAAGAGATATCTGTTCAGAATGTACAAGACTATCACCAATGTGTCTCTGGGGGCAGAAGTTTCTCAGAGTTGATGAAGAAGTGGAGCCCATGAAGCACAGCAAACATCTCCAATGCTTATATTGAATCCTTACTGTAAATGTCCTCTGAAAATTATCTTAATTTTCACATTCAACATACATTAGACCACACTGAGGGAGGGAAGGAAAGTCCTGCAGGTATTTCAAGTGAATCAGCTTTCAGATTCAAATATCTCCCAAAGGTTAAAAATGAAATGGAATTTTTAGGTCACATTCCTCTCCTTGTAGTACCAGAAAAAAAAAAAGATAAACAGAAACGTGTCCTTGGTCTTTGCTTAGTGGCCATGGGAGGCTGCCAAAAAAGTACAATCTGTGTGTTTAGCCTTGGCAGAAGCAGGGTATTACTCACTTTGGACGTGTCTAGAGCAGCCTTCAAAACCCCTCCCATCTGCATCACTGCAGAATACTGAAGCCCAAACCTCTTCCTTGTGTTAGGAGAAAAGGATGCCAAGGAGGGGAGGGAGAGGAGGAGAAGATCCATATGGTACCTGCAGAGCTGTGGTCTGAATGGGAGTGGTGAGTGCTGTCAGGGCTGGGTTCTGTACTGCAGCCACCACAGGGTTACCATCTGCCTTCAGGGTTGTCAAGACCAGGGAGTCTGTTTTGATGATCTGAGGTTGGACCAGAACCTGGGATGAAAAGAGTGAGAGGTGAAAGGGAGAAGAGGCACAGCAGAGATCTCAGCAGACAGAGTTGAGACTTTATATCTCAGTGGATGGCAAAAAAACAAGGCAAGTATTTCTTCCCCCTTGTGCCCTGCACCACCTGGATGGTTTTTGTCAGCCCCCTATGTAAGTTCTGCCCATGAGACAGTCAGAACAGGGCTGGAGGGTGGGAAGCAGAGGAACCACCAGGACATTGGTTTTGAAATCAGTCACTAGAAGTACACGAGTATGCAAAGACACAAAAGAGCTGGTGGAAAAGCTCCCTTCCCCTCTCCAGTTACACCTATAATTAGCTCTCTGCATTAACTGGTTGAGTACTCAGACTCCACCACAGCTAGGACAGCCTGGTGTGGTAAATATCTGTAGGAGCTTTCCTGACCCCCCAATCTCACCAGAAGGATCTGTACCATGGCTATCAATCAGATCTAAATCAACTGCAAGTTATTTTGCCTAACACAGCTTACTCTTTTTTTTCCAAACACAGAGAACACCATAGATGGTACAGGACAACTGGTTCAGACCAATACTGTCATACTGAGTGGCCTAGCCATACTTTGTTTAATACAAAGACACACAAGACTTTTTCACTTGTCTATGTTTTAAAACAAAAAACAGACACTGCAGCAGCAAAAAGATGAAAAGAAACTGTTGCAGAAGAACTGGAAGAAAACACACCAGTGTCACCCAGCCTGAGACATGGTAGAGGTGATAGATTTGCAAAAAAAAACCCAGGCAAAAGTCAAAGAAAGCTTGTTCAAGTAAGGTTTCCAATCTGGTTTGGCAGCGCCAAGTTACAAGAGCATCTCAGACCAGGTTTAGTGGAAATGGTTTCTGAACCTTGCTCTCTACTTGAAGTCACATGACAGCTCACAACAGGGACTCTCAGGCATGACTTGGAAGTCAAATGCTTCTGGAACACAGGCTAGAAATCCCTCTAGTGCCTAAAAACACTCATGCAAAAGCAATCCCAGCCAGGACTGCCAGCCCTTCAAGCTTTGCCACCTTTCCACTGGCACTCCAGGAGACCAGACCCACCAAAGTAACTTCTTCTGCTTCTGGGTCCCTGCATCCCTCCATGTTTTTACTTACTGGGACTTGCTGGACCTGTGGGGCAGCAACTGTCTGGACAGTGGCTGGGGTTAAGGTCTGGATGGTGCCGTTGGCAGCCTGGGTCAGCACCCTCTGGGCCTGCACAGTCTGCACTTGCTGCTGGATGGCAACTGGCTGGACCTGGGAGGATGTCACCAGGCTCTGGACTTGAGGCTGGAGAACTGCAAAGCAGAAGAGATGTCAGGAATGGTTCCAAGGCACAGGTCTCCCCTTCTGGAGGCTGCAGAGGCTCGTAGCTCCACTTCTCTTCTCAGAGCTTCTCAGTAGGCAGCAATCATCTAACACATCCCACACACTGGGAAGGTTCCAGCTACTCTGGTGCCTCCCCAATAGGACTGCACCTAGAATAGCAGCTTTCCAGGAGACAAGGAGGACCAGCCAAGAGTAAATACAGTCAAAACCCTCTGGCCTGATAGCACAGGACTCATTACTCCAGTGACACTACACAGTGCACCCAACCAGCACTTGCCCACCCCTCTTGATCCTGGGGGACCCTAGGAGCCTATTTATCACGTGAAGAATCAACACCTACTGAAGAGGGTCAAGACAACAGGCATTCACAAAGGAAGATCTAGTCATTAAAGATCCCTACAAGTGTCTCTGCTCAATGCAAGTACTGCATTTGAGAGCTTGGTTGTTGAAGTCTGCGTTTGGGACTGCCACACAGGACACACTCAGCACTGCATCTGCCTCCTGCACCCACCAGCAGGGAGACAGGGTTGCCAACAACCATGTTTAAGCCACTTTTCTCAAGCCTCCCCAAGGCCACAGGGGAGAAGGCCGTAACAGAGGGGAGCAGTGAGACAACTACCTCAGGAGGTCACACAGAAAGATTTAAAACCTCATTTATGATGGTTTCTCAACTCCAGAACCACACAGGGAGGAGAAGGGACACCCCACAGGCAGCACTGCAAGGAAAGGACCACGGGGCTTGTCGTGACACTCTTCGAGTCTGAACCCAAACACGATTACTGCGAGCACAGCAGGCACACCCCCAGCCCCCTGAAACCACGAGCACCCCAACATCTACCTTGGAAGCTGGTGGCGGCGTTCTGGTAGATGAGGGGCTGCTGGATGATCCTGGTCTGGGGGGCAGAGCTGAACGTCGGGGCGATCATCAGGGCCTGCTGCTGGAGCTGGGGCTGGGGCCGGGGCTGCAGGA